ATAGCTATAGAGAGGGGAGGGGAAGGAGAGAGAGAGAGACGACAGAGAGAGACGCTGGAGAGTCTGGGAAGAAGAAAGAGAGAGATGCTTTCTATTTCCTAATTTTTGAAAACAATTTCGAAGAACAGGTTTCTCATTTCCTATTTTTTGAAAACAATTTTTCAAAATACCAAAAAGAACGCATTTTCAACCATCTCAAAATGGACATTCAAAACACAAAATGAAATCAAAACACAAAACTGAAATACAAAGAGAACGGCCCCTAAGCTTTCATATTTTACCATGTTTTCCTCTCTATTCAACTTCATAGTACTTAGCAATCTGAGTGGTCAAAGGAGAATACAATGCTGCCTTTATTGCGGGTATGAGACACAACAATGGATCGAGCAAGTTAGATTGTAAAAGCAGAACTTTTCTTTACGACAACAATAGATTTAAACAGAAAAAGAGCTTACAAGTTATAGCTTTAGAGCTTGAAGACATGAAACGAATCATTGACTACTGAAATCAGTAACATTCTACTTCAATTTGTCGTGTTCTAAAAGAATGGCTTCCATGTCAATTAACAGAACGAGTACATTAGTTTCATTCTCCAACTCTTTGAAAGAGCCAATTATTTCTCATATAGGTTCAAGAGCCCGGGAGCTTCCCTCTCGTAGCGCTGCACAAATCTCTGTAAGAACTTCTTTTCTGTATATTCCACTAGCGAGACCAAATGTGTGCCTTTATCGATCAAACCTTTCTCCAACAAAACTTTATAAACAGAACATCTTGGGATAATCCTATTCTCTAAGCTAAATGAAAGTAGCGATGGCCTATTCAACACTACTGAAGATTCAAACCCCATCTTGTTTATAAGAAAATCCATTACCGCGGTTATTTTATCAGTGGATATCATCATGCAATAAGGATGCTTCTCGAATGCCAAGATAATCTCATCTTCCGACCACCCCCACTTCTTATAAAGCGCCACCTTCTTCTCCCAGGTCGATTTATTCATCGCCCTAAATGCCTGAACTGCTAGAATAAACTTCAAACTCGAAGGTCTAATACCCAGTTCCCTAACTTCCTCGACAACCTTTTTGAACCTCTCCTTTCCTACCATCAGTGCCCTAGGTTGGTATTGCAGCAATACCACAATTTTCGATTCAGGGACTCCCGCCTCTCTTAGAACTTCGATATTAGGCAACAACCGAGATTGAAGATCACAACAGAAGATCTCAGCTAAGCGTTTCAATGAACCGAAACTTTTCCCATTCGATTCGAACAAATTCTTTATATAATTATAAGATGGTATTATTTGTTTCTCCAAACTCCTCTTGAAAATATTAGGCGTCCCACAGAAAATACTCAACACGTCCCTCTCCGGCATGCCTGACGACCGGAAAAACTCGATTTTTGGCAAAACAGTCTTCTTAGGATCACATAATATGATTGAAGGGAACCTTTTCACCATGAGTTCAATTTGCTCTGCCGTGAAACCATGATTCTTTAACAACGCAATAAAAGAATCGGGTTTTTCTGCAGAATCAAAATTCACGTACTTGGAGGCTGAAAGAGCCTTTTCTGGCGAAAACCCACATGTGTTGATGAGGTAATTAACAGTAAAATTTTCTCTATTTTCATTTTTTGATCTAGGTTTTGATCTGTTTGTTGCTGCTGATGCAAATGGGCTGAGTTGAACCAAACGGGATTTAGGGTTTCGTGAAATAATTCTAACAGACGTCCTACCAATCGCATGAAGAAAACCTCTGTAAATCGAATTAAACATTGATGAATCAATATATTGTATGAAGATGACTCACCTTTGATTGAGTTGAATCAGGTTCGAAATGCCCTCCCCTTTGATGACGTAAACCCTGAGGTCAAATCCTAATTGACCCCAACTCAACGCTTGTCTTGGGAGTGACCTACGACGTCGTTTAAATCTATAGGTTCTATTTTATTTTAATTTTTCTCTATGGGCATTTATTTACTGGTGGCCTTAAAATTTTAATAACATAGATTTAATTTTTTGAATAGTATGTAGTTAAAAACTAAAGAAAAATGAGTATGAGAAATAAATTAAAATGAATCAATCGGGGGCTTATTCTTCTTTTATGAGAATCGTGTGTGCAAAATTTCACATTAGTGCTTAAAGTATTCTACTAGCCTATTTAGTCATTGAAGTTGAATAATATTACATGTAGTGCCGCTTTGATTGTAAAGTAACGTTGAAGTCAACGTGACGCTTGCTAAATGTTGAGATGGCCTAAGGACATTAATTACTTCGCCAATTGTAATATTCTGGATTAATATGTTGACTGTTATAATTTTTTGAATTCGCTCTAGTCCTATTCTAACACCAATCAATCATCTACAATAAAAGTAGCGATTAAGGTGAAAGTCCTTTGAAAGGACCCTTCGAATCCAAACAACATTATGAAGGTATAAAAATTTAACTTTATTTTGTATATTTTTGTCTCTAAAGTGTATTTGTTTATGTTGATTCCGAACCACCTTATACTACAAGAAATGTATTTATGTCTTTTTCATCGAATATTTTTTTATGTCTTTTTGTCTGATGTTTTCTGTCAAGTGCAATTCTATATTTTAACCAGCAAAATAGAATTTTTGTATATTCTTATGAATATTTTGTTTAGAAATCATCCTTTTTTTTTTGGCTTTCACATGTAGAGAGGGGCCAAATATATAACATTATTCACTGAATAATGGAGCCACAATTCCATTCCATTCGTCTTCACAGATGAATATGAAAATAGTGTAACTGCCTTGTTGAATTTTAGGGTGGAATATGATGAGACAAAAGATCTATCTATAGATAGTGGTAATATAATTGCCCTATTTAATATATTACTGGGTTTAAGCAAACGTGCATTTGGAATATGATGAGACAAAAGATCCATCTATAGATAGTGGTAATGATGAGACAAAAGATCTATCTATAGATAGTGGTAATATAATTGCCCTATTTAATATATGACTAGGTTTAAACAATGTGCAATGC